GTCGAAAGTAAGATGGAAGGTGGCAAGGCTGACGAATAAGCATGAAGGAAGGGGAGTGAAAGGGCTTCCTATGGTTAGCGACGGCTCCGTATTCCTGTGCCGACATCCCTTGTCCCTGCCTCTCTACCGTCTGGACCCTCGCAGCTAAGCCCCTTATTGCCTTCAGGCATGGACATTGTGTCATGATGAGTTTTGAGCTTACCCTCGTCTGGTGGTTATAGGACGACTTTCAGGTGCGAGTTGGGGTGGTGTGTACAGTGATGTCGTACCATACTGCCGAAAGAATGAATTGTACGAGTAAGGTCGTCGATGGTCTTGTTCTCGTCCGTAGACGTATCTGAAAGTAAAATTCCATAAATTCGATCGATATTCGTTTGACAACACATTTCTGACAAAAAGGTAACCATAGCTGAGTGCTAAAACTAAGGTTTTGGGACTTTTGGCATTTTGGGTGCTATTCTTATGGTGGTTACGGGCGTGCCTAACTTCCGCAAGTATAAACAGTTTCATTCAGGTGAGTGGTCAGTGTCTCTGCGTCTCGTTCCCGTGAACCATATTGAGTGCGGGATCAAATTCCACTCGGGACAATCGCGATTTATGCGATTCGGAAGAACTGAACTGGATATTGTATGGTTCCCACGGTCACTGATCCATGTACTCACATGCTTCTGCAGTCGGAAACAGAGGCTGAATACATGGCGCATTCCGAATTACAGGCTATGCGATGAGCTTCTGCAATAGATTTGAAGCAGGGCACGCCATAGCTGTGATGAATCCATAAACTACCCCCACTCGACAGCAAAATTTTGGGGAAAAACCAGAAGGAAATTTCGGAAAAACTGGTAGGAGGTTAGGGGGAATCTGAGAAATTTTCCTGTTTCACATGGGTATATATCCTCCTCTCCCGCTCCACGGAAAATTCTTGGCTGAAAAGTGGAAATTTTTCGGGAAAAAATGGAAAAAAAGTGGTGAAGTTGGGAAAATCTAGGAAGATGGTAGGTAGCTTACGGAAGGGGGGGGGGTCGTATTTGAGGATAGAATTAGTTGAGAGTCGTATTTTTTAGGAAATGATTACAACGCGATGGCTTGCCCTGATTTGAAGGCCGCTCAGTTTGTTCTGGTCTCCCAGTCGCTAGCCCATTTACTACTGTAAAATAGGAGCAGGTAATTTAGTGCAAGTTCCGCCGCTTACCACGCGCACTTTCGGCGGATCAAGCCCCTTCTCGACTCGAGGGGCTTCCTGTAAACCCCTCGGAGCCGCTCAATCGGTACCAAACTCGTCTCTAGTATCAAAAAACACTGATTGGCGCTGTTTGGCGACGGGGGGCATTTTGCACTTTTGTACTTCCCATCGAAGTGCCAACCTATCTAGACAGCCTCTTCTCGAGTTGACAGGTTTTACCATGATGGCTTGACGAGCTTGCTCAGCTTCACAAGAGTTCACAGGTTTCACCAGAGTGAGACTTGTAAACCAGAACTAGTGAAGCAACGAAAGTGCAAAATGCCCCCCCCCCCGTCGGCAACTTGCGCCCACTGATTTCTTCATCGACTAGCTCCGCGAGTCACTCCATCAGCCAAATGGCGTTGACAACGCTACTAGGATTGCGAATGGGTGTGAAATGCCTGGCGCGAAAAGGGATACATTAACAGATATTTTATTTATACTAGTGAATGGCACACAAAATAATGCGGCAAATTCCTGTAGTTTGTACCATAACATTCTTGAATTTGAATAGGCGGAGGGTGCAGTTTGACGTCGGTGGGCATTTTACTTTCGTTGCTTCACTAGTTCCTGTTTACAAGTCTCACTCTGGTGAAACCTGTGAACTCTTGTGGAGCTGGAGCAAGCTCGTCAAGCCATCATGGTAAAACCTGTCAACTCGAGAAGAGGCTGTCTAGATGGGTCGACACGTCGATGAGAAATGTCAAAAGTACAAAATGCCCCCTCGTCGTCAAACTGCGCCCAGGCGGAGCTAGTGAACCAGTCACTAGCCCTGCTCATTTTGTACGAGTTCTCGAGTGACTTACTTGTATATAGGGTAGCTCCATGTACGCAATCCGAACACATCATATTTACGGAACGGTTGATCTTCGGACCGGTAGTGAATGTTAGTATGGTAGGGTGCGGTCACCATCGCAATCGGCGTGCGTGCACGATACGAGGTGAGCGGTTGACGGGTGTCGTACACTGGCTGAAAATCAATACATATTTTTCTAATTGATTATAAAAAAACAAAACAGATGTTCGTCTAGTGCAGTGGGAGTTTGTGGCTTACCAGGTCAAGTTAACTGATTTTCCTAGTAACTCTCTGTTCGAGGCTTTCATGGATCATCGATCGATAAATCGATCTTTTTTCGAAGTCCTGGGGAGGCTTTGGCGGACTCTGGGGGCGTTTGTCCCGAAACCCGTGCGTTTCTTCTGAGGGTGACAGTCGGTAAGAGGCGGTTCTGGTTCCGTAACGGATAACGCACCAGCCCGGAAAGCGTTCGGTGAGGATTTCCCTGGGCTTAAGCGTTTTGCCCATAATTAAATATTCTTGTGATGATCTTAAGTATGGGTACCACCTGACTGCTACCCTATCGCCATACCCTCTGCCTACTGTCTGCCTGCTGTCTGCTACGTTCCTATCGCCCCATCCACTCCCGTACGCTGCTGGTCGCTGTGGACGCTGTTAGACGCTGTTAGACGCCGGTAGACGCTGGAAAACTCTGGCAGACGCTAGATCGATATCTATACTTTCCTGATCGCTGACGCTGCCACGCTCGGAACGCTGGTGGACGCTATTGGTCGCTGGTGAACGCAGCCGCAAAGTATGAACGCAGCCTTAGCGTATTGCAACTGTGCTCGTTAAAGGAAGAACCCGCGATTACTCGCCATCTCAGATGGTGGATTAGGGGGTTCCATATAGACGACAAGGGGTTGAGTAACTCGACTGTGAACAAAAAAGCACAAAAACATGCCACCTGCCCTAGATAGAACCCCATTTCGATCCCAGTTTGTACGTGCCCAATCAACTCTATCTCCAAAACTACGCCCTCATATGCACGGCTGATTCACCGATAAGATTTCTACGATCGTACAAGTGGCGATTATCATGCTTTTTCGTCCTGCAATCTCATTTTTCACTGGAAGTCGGTCAGGGGGAGTCTGGAGGCGGAGTCACTGGAAAAAAGGAGGAGCCACTGAACCTATATTGCGCTACAGCGCCCCTCCCATAGAATTTTTTGCCGCGAAACCGGTACAAGGTTGTTCGTCGCGGACCACTCTAACCTCCTGACGCCATATTTTCAACTTCGATACCTGATCGCGGACCGTGCCTTTAATCGCTGCGAGGCATGAGCACGGAGTGTATCCCGGCTCTAGCCTCTAGATAGGTCATTTCATTCAATTTTGACTCAGTAATTTTGAATGGATGTTCCTACGATTTATTGGTTAAAGTTGTCATTGTAACTCAACGGATATGTGGGGATAGAGGGGACAGTATAAATTAACTAAATGAGGCTAGTTAGTAAAAAACGAATGGCTAAAGAAGTTGTAAGTAAGCATTACCTGAGTACGACTTTTCATTAGGGAGCGCAGTAGCATTTTGATGGAATGGCGCAACTGATGTGCGTTTTACCCAACTGTCGTGATAAAAATCCATCAGTGGTCGAAAAACGATAAGGTAAGAAATATCGATTGAAATAAAGCGAGAGATGAGGTGGATGAAAGTAAAGTACACAGCGTAAAAGAGTTAGTAAGGAATCCTCAATCTTGGGATCAAAACGGGCGCTTTCTAGTTCCGGATAGGCGCACGTCGTTATAACGGATTTGTAAGGACTCAGTTGACGGAAGGGACAAAGAACGTATTTTTCTGTGCCAAGGAAGTAATACTAGTCCAGCAAATCTGCACACCTTTCCAGTCTATAAGTTCGAACCTAATTGAATATCACTTTTAGGTATACCGAGAGTTGAAGGGGTACCTGAGAAGGAGTCCTCCACAGAGGACTCCTAGTCATTTAAGCCACTCCACGTCTCCTTAGGGGCATGAGGTCCTGCAGAAAAAGCAATGATGGGGAGGAAACACAAAGGCTGATAAATGCTTCAGTGGAAAGGTGTCAGGCAAGAGTGTCGTTTAACAGATGAACTGAAAGGATGGAAGCAAAGCGTGTGACATCCATGGAAGCCATGATGCAATGAATCAGCCAGAGAACCGCTGTAAAAGCTGTACAGCTGTAAAATAGGGGGCAAAAGCTAAGGCTGACTGACAGCAAGAGGGACGGAAATCAGAAATCATAAGGATTTGGTGTTGTAAAGCGTTTATGTAAGTGGCAATCCAGTGATTGTTTCAGAGAAATTGGTCTTTCAGCAAGGTGTCGCTCCCTCCGCCTTTTGATTCTAATGCGACCCTCCTCAGGAGAAGGTGGTGTAGTGACAGGCGGCCCCTTTACCACGTCGGCCATTCAAGAGTGAAATCCTGGATCTGCTCCCTTCCAAGGCCAACTAAGCCCTCTACCCTGGAGACGGTGACTGCTATCGGATTGCTCTGACATAATAAAAACGCTAAATTGCAAATAACATCATCCCTT